ATACATACATACATACATACATATACATACACACACACACACTCATGCATATATAAAATTTTGATTACAATAGTAAAATCTAATACAAACTAAACTTGAAGAAAGAAAAGATTAGAGAGGAGTAAAAAGTGCAAGGATAACTTCCTCTGGAAGTTTCCCTCTAATTCTCCATTTTCAACTTCTTGAAAAATTCTTCTGTTCTCTGTAAAAGAAGCGAGGGGGGGGGCGGCAATCTTTTGTAGGGAGAAAATAATTTTTCAAGAACATTGAGTGGGATAGGGACTTGGTGAACACAAGTTTCCCTCTAATTCTCCATTTTCAACTTCTTGAAAAATTCTTCTGTTCTCTGTAAAAGAAGCGAGGGGGGGGGAGGCAATCTTTTGTAGGGAGAAAATAATTTTTCAAGAACATTGAGTGGGATAGGGACTTGGTGAACACTAACACACAATTTGAAAGGGAAGGAATTGTTAATTAGGCTGCTTGTAGATCTCTGTTATATGGAGCAGTGGTATCTGTACACCAAATATATATTTCTAACCTCTTATGCAACATTAAATTTTGCCTCCCTCCATTTTCATTTTTTCCCATCACTAAGCTATATGAATTCTCCAAAATGTCTACAATAAATGAGCCACCTGTAATGTATCCCTATTATTATTTTGTAATGTTGCTTACTTTCTTGAAAGATATGTGGATTAGACCATAGATTTACCTAAGGAGGCAAATGTGACAAAAATGTGTCTTAATTCACTCTAAAAGAGACCTGGAATTACTTTGCATGGTTGCCATAGTTTAGCTTTTCATCCTAAATAGTGCTATAAATTTCTTTCCTAACTAACCTTGCCTGGAAGACCTTCATTAGCTTTTGGGCATGAGATAAAACTATGCATTAATAGTCCCTCCAAAATGTCCTGGGTTTAGTAGCATTGTATAAGAGGTATGGAAATGGTGGCTAATTTCATGGGACTTTTTCCCAAGTAGCAAATTCTATAAGAAATCAACTCAGTTCTCTGCATAGAGTATCTGCTCCTCCTCTGCAGCTTATTACTTAAGAGAGGAAGAAAATGCTGTTCTAGTTTCCCTCCTTACTCACCTCCATCCTTCTTGCAAAGTCAGGAAGCCATCCTCTATATCTCCTTTAGGAATAGATCTCCTTGATAAGAAGATAATTCATCCTTCCAAAGTGAAATTCAAAATGTCTGACCCCAAGAACTCATAGAAAATGCAAAAATGGGATTCAGAGAAGACAAAGAATGCTGGAAAAAGATACTAGTCATGGAACTTTATGCCACTGGAAGTAGAAGGGGGAAATTTAGAAAGGCAGGATTTTGCACAATACTTGTTTCCATTTAGTCATGTTAATGTTGTTCAAGTTCAATGTAAATGAGGGTTGTTTTACTGAATCTGTTTAGTATCCTTTTATTTTTATTTTTACTTTTAAATGTTTCCCTTTATATATGAAAGATAATCATAATTACTAACATGTACCGCCTTTCAATATTAACTGACAGTACTAGTATTATATTACCTATTGGCCATATCAAAGGCTTTGAAGGTTCATTCTCTATATGTTTCAAATATAATTTTGTACAACTGGTAAATTCCTTGGAATGAATTTCTCTTCTTTTTGCTTATTTTTCAATTCAGCTCAACCACTTTATGAGAAGGATCTCATTCAACAATAGTGCAGGGGAAAAAGTTTCCGTCAACCAAAATGGAGAGTTAGAGACTGGATTTAATATTATAAACTGGATCACTTTTCCAAACCAATCTTTCCAAAGAGTCAGAGTTGGAGGGATGGACCCCATGAATCCCCAGGAAGAAATGTTCTCCTCTTCTGAGGAATCTATTGTGTGGCCAAGGAGATTTAACCAGGTAAGGTCTAAATAAATTTCAAACTGTAACACATAATGATGCCTCTAGTGAAACCTCTCATCTTCACCTTTATTGGGAAAAAGAATTCCCATTCTCCACTACAAAAAGCCACAACATAATTCATAATGCTAATCTAATTGTACTTAATACTAAGTCACCAGCTATCTTCCTCCTTCTTTGTTCATAACTATTAAACATTAGGTAGACCATCCATAACACTAGAAAACATAAGGGTAAACAGTTTGGTGTAGTGGTTAAGGTGCTGGACTAGAAACCGGGTGAATGTGAGTTCTAGTCCTACCTTAGGGATGAAAGCTAGCTGGGTAAATTTGGGCCAATCATTCTTTCTCAGCCCAACCCACCTCACAGAGTTGTTTTTATTAGGAAAAATAGAAAGTGGGAGCATTATGTACACCACCTTGAGTGTACAAATAAGCATGGAATATAAATCTCATAATAAATGTTTGATCATCGTTGAGGTACAACATTGTCGGAAGCATTTTCTTATTTCATTTATCAACAGGCCCAGCCACTTTCTCAGTGTAATAACAAATGTCATTCAGGATATAGTAAGAGCAAGTTAGAAGGGAAGCCATTTTGCTGCTATGATTGTCTTCGATGTCCAGAAGGAAAGATTGCTAACCAGCAAGGTGAGAATTGTTGGGTACAGAGCTAATAAATGTGCTGATACCAATGTGCATAAATTCTGTTTATTAATGTTTTAAAATAACATTTTATCAGTGATGATGCTCACATAATTATATAGCTAGTATGACTACTGTTACTATGTTTTTATCAGATTGAAAGAATTAAATGTAAAATAAATTAGGCAAATTAAATACAAGCAACAATCACATTTGATTTATAGGAATGTGTGAGTTGTTTGATTTTTCTGGATTTTTAAATGGAATAATCAGATTCTGTATCTCACTAGTGTTTTCATTCTCAAGTGATAGCCACTAGATTTCAGCTATGGATCATGAATACTTTAGTCCCCTTCCCCTATACCTATTTGTGCTTGATAAAATCATAACAGAGTTCTACAGAAATGACCTGAGGGTATCATGAAGTCATGGTCCTGTTTCTAATAATAAGAATGCAATTTCTAAAATATATTCTCTTGATCAATTTCATGTATATTTTTACCTGAGAATGATTTGAATCCTGTCTGTATCATCACAAACTGTGATTTTTATTTTTTTGTTTTGTTTTGTTTTTGAATATCTGGCCTCAGTCATTTTTCAGCTTCCAAGTGGGATTTTTGGGTAGAAAGCTTGATGAGAAATAAATTCAGTTAAGAACATAAATGAGTAAAAATAAGCAAGACCACACATTGATAAAAATTATTCGTCACCACCACTGTTCATATATGAAATGAAGAGCAGAAAAAATCCTGACTTTGGTCCAAGAACCCATGTCACCAATAATGTTGGACATCAACATCTATCTACAATCTCTTTTAGTTTTCATCTGTACAGTTGCATGTCCCTTACCTCCATTTTTGTTTGCTTTAATCATTTCATTTAAGCTCTCTGAACATATTTTGTACACACATTTAATTAAAAGACATCTGACTGAATTTTTGAGAAGATATACATTGAAAAATTCATGAAATTGCATAGCATAACTTTTTCAACTGAACATGAAAAACAAATGTTCAGATTTAGAACAGTAATTGACCAATGTTTTAGACAAAACTAACATTATAAAGTACCAAGGAAATTAAGAACCAAAGGAAAAGGTAAAATAGATACATGCAACATGTAAAAAGAAGTGCAGTGATGAAAAACAAATTTAGTTTTTTGGAAATACAATATTCTCCATCATCGCTAGCACAACAGTGAGCCATTTATGATCATAGAATCTTAGAAATATACATTAATAAGAACTCTACAAATTGTGGTTGCTTTTTAATTTTGAGCTAGAAACCTGTATTCTAGGCATTATATGTTCCATCTTACTTATTTTTAAAACAATTTAGGACCTACTGATTTCTAACCTTCTACTTTGTTTTCTAGATATGGATATATGCTTTCAATGTCCAGATGATCAGTACCCAAATAAGAACCAAAATTTGTGTCTCCCCAAAGTTATAACATTCTTAAAGTATGAAGAAACTTTGGGGACTGTTTTGACCAGTTCTGCTGTTTCCTTCTCTTTGGCCACAGCTGGAGTCTTTTGGATCTTTATTAAGCATCACAACACTCCCATAGTCAAAGCCAACAACCAGAGCCTCACATATGTTCTCCTTGTTTCTCTCATGTTGTCTTTTCTTTGTACTTTGTTATTCTTCGGAAAACCTGACAAGGTGACATGTGTCCTTCGTCAAACTGCCTTTGGCATCATCTTTTCAGTGGCCATTTCTTCTCTTTTGGCCAAAACCATCATTGTGGTTCTGGCTTTTATGGCCACCAAACCTGGCTCCAGGATGACCAAATGGGTGGGGAAAAAACTAGCCATGTCCATAGTATTTTGCTGCTCCTTTATTCAAAGTAGTATCTGTATTATATGGCTGATAATCTCTCCTCCATTCCCAGATGTTGACAAAAACTCCTTGTCAAAAGAAATCATATTGAAATGTAATGAAGGTTCATTCTTTATGTTCTACTGTGTCTTGGGCTTTATGGGCTTTCTTGCGATTATCAGTTTCATAGTGGCTTTCCTAGCAAGGAAGTTGCCTGATACTTTCAATGAAACCAAGTTTATCACCTTCAGCATGTTGGTCTTCTGCAGTGTCTGGTTGTCCTTTGTTCCAACATACCTGAGCACTAAAGGGAAATATATGGTGGCTGTGGAGATCTTCTCCATTGTAGTCTCTAGTGGGGGGTTACTGATTTGTATCTTTTCCCCCAAATGTTATATTATTGTTCTGAGGCCAGATCTGAATAACAAAGAACATCTAAAAAACAAAACAACAGAGAAACATAACATGTGATGGCCCCAGAGAAAACAGAAACATTTTAGGCCACAATTCTATGTCCATGTAATTCATATAAGCCCTTAAGAACTCTGGGGCTTACTATTTAATATAGTAAAAAAAAAAAATATTCCATTTCATTTATAATTAATATATATAATCGGAATCAGTTGGACATAATCTTGTTTACTTTTGATTGGACAGAATTCTATGTTTCTCTTCTTTATTGTTTTTTTAATAGTATTTTATTGAGATTTTAAAATTACAAAGTTAAAAGTTAGAAATGA